TCGTTTTAATTAGAAAAACATTTTATTTTAAGAGCTTAGTGGTATTTATGTTCAACTTTTTATTCCATGTTACTGTAATATTTTTAAAAAATACGAAATTTGGAAGTGCAACCTATTAGAATAATATTTTTATGAAAATATAACCTAATGTCATTTTTTCTTCCTCAGTTTACTTATGATCATGTTATACTTTTTATCGGTTTTGTTTTGTTTTGTCAGGATCATCCTAACTGCTTCAGTGTAAGCTAAGAAAGGAGAAGTTGATATCAGTAAGGAATTGCATTTCTAATTCTTTTACACTTGTCCCTTTAAATGAAAAGGAGAGGCCCGGTGCACGGATTCGTGCACTGGTGGGACATCTTGGCCTGGCCTCTGCCCTCTCGCAATCCGGGACCCCTCGGGGGATGTCAGACTGCTAGTTTCAGCCCCATCCCCTCAGGCCAGGCCGAGGGACCCCACTGGTGCACAAATCCATGCACCGGGCCTCGGTATGCATGTAAGATCTTTGGTTAATCTCTTCCCACTCTCGAGATTTATCCTGTTCCATGTTTCCATGCCTGGGTGTTGAGCATCTGCCCCCTGGTGGTCAAGTGCGTGTCATAGCTACTGGTCGAACGGTCGGACGGTTGCTTAGGCTTTTATATATATAGATATTAAAAAGCCCAATATTATTTCATGTTTCTCTGTCAGTGGATTCTTCTGGTGTATTGGGTGCTCTGTTATGTCAAGGATGCTGCACCATGTGTATGTGTGTGTAAGGGGAGTGTGGCCAACGGGGCCTAGAGCAGGGGAACAGGTGAGCTTTGGAGTCAGGCAGAGGTGAGTGGAAATCCCAGCCCAGCTCATGTTGTCATGGCTTTCAGCCATTTCCCATTCTTAGCCTTGCTTCCTTCTCTGTCAACGGACACACGTTAGTTAATATTTTGGCAGATGTGATTTGAGTACATTGCATACACCAAGCTAAGAGGCTGTTTCATTACTCTCTTCAACTTGAATTTATTTAGAACAAGCCTGTGGCTTTGCTTTGCTTTTTAAATATATTTTTATTGATTTCAGAGAGGAAGGGAGAGGGAGATAGAACATCAGTGATGAGAGAGGTCCATTGATTGGCTGCCTCCTGCACACCCCCACTGAGGAATATTCTACAGATAGGGGAATTGAGAGCCGTTAAAGAACTCGTCTAAAGTTACCTAGCTGCTCATTTAGGCAAAGACATGGGCTGAAATACAGATTTCTTACCTCCACATAGGCCAAATTATTGACTTCTAGCTTCTTAATCTGTGGGGGATGTCAGCTATCTCCCCAATCAGCAAACTACCTGTTTTGTGTCCCAGATTGTGCTGAGGCTGCCCAAGTAGACAGGCTTGTCTGGTGCCAACCAGATAGTCTGGAGATATCCCTCCTGGGTATGGTCAGTGTCAATGTCTTCTCTGGTCTGCAGGGCCTTGGAATGCGGTTGGATGCCTGTGAGGCCAGCCACCCTGCCCTGAAGCTTAGTGCTAATTGCAAGAGGAGAAGGTGGTAGAGTAAATAAGGCTGCAGGCCTCTTTTCTTGTGTGGGTTGACTTCAAAACCCACCCAAACCCTGATAACCTCTTGCTCTGCAAAATCTCATACAGGCATTCTTTACTTTGGAGTGTAGACTCGTTCGGATTTAAGATGTTTGCTGTTTGCACGAACTGGTATCAGGCAGTACCAAGAAAGCTCTTGGTTCCCGATTCTCATTGGGTCAAAAAAAAAATCTAGAGATCACCCCATCTTTCCAAAGGAAAACTATTTGAACCCAAATCAAAGTTGTGGGATGGCCCACAGGTTGTGTGTCTCAAGAGATCTTAGAGAACCAGCACTTTGTATGTTTGCTACACGATGGGGAGTAATCATTGTGTGGGTTGTTCTCTCTTCATTCTAGATTTTGCCAAACTTTATTTGGTTTATTCCTTATCATTTTCTATCATTGCTTATCTTCCTCTTGTTGGAATAAGCTCAGGTGCTTTTATAGCCTGATCCATAATAATAATAAAAGCATAATATGCTAATTAGACCGGACAGCTGAACGACCTTCTGGACAACCTTCCGGACGAAGCCAGGGCTGCGAGGGCCGAGCCCCTTGCACGAATTTCGTGCGTCAGGCCTCTAGTAAAATATAACTGCTAGTCATTGGGTCACTAACACCAACACCTTGCATTTGCAAGATGTTTTATACTTTAAAAAATTTTTTCTCATTATATATTCTGTTGTCTCAAGTTATGGGAATGTCACATATGGACTATTAAGTATATTCTACAGATAGGGGGATTGAGGTCTATTAGTTAAAGAACTTGTCTAAAGTTACCTAGCTGCTCACTTAGGCAAAGACACGGGCTAAACTACAGCTCTTTTACCTCCACACAGGTCAAATCATTGGCAATTCGAAGTCTGGGAGTTCTACCCTGTCTGCCTCCCTTCCATTCTTAAACCTCTTGTTTAGTTTGGGCTTCTTATTTCATATTTGCTCGTCCTCTCCTGTTATGTTCTCATTAGAGTGCTCTTGGCTGCTCTTTGTATCTGTTGCTCCTCGATTGTACTGTACTCCACTGGATATCCTGCCCTGTGCTCGAATATCTGTGTGCGAAACAGCAATTTTTACATCCTCTCCTTCTGCTTCGGAATTCACCGGTCCCTAATCTCTATAGCTGACTCTTCTTATCTTACCCTACTCCTTGGATGTGGCCATGTACCCCTCTAATCTAAGATTCAGTTTCCAGCAAGGATGTGTGTGTGCCAAGCCCTTTGGAGGAGAGCGGTGCGCGCTTCTTGACTGGGTGGGGATTAGGAAACAAAACCCTTGGTGTGGTTCTGCATTTAGACCAGGAGAAGGTTCCTCGGTGTCTTTCTGTAGTGCATGATTCTACCAGATCGTAAGAAACTGCAAGAAACGTCCAAGTTTTTGGTGTATTGGGGTGTCGTAGATATGATTTTATTTTCTTCCAGGGCCTGGTATGGCACCTGTTCAAAGCAGATGCGTGATTGACCATGTAGGATGCCAGGGCAGATAATGAGAAATTGTTTGCAACCACTGGAAAAGGACTTTGAACCGATAATGGTCTTAATTTCTTAGGAAATTACGTGAGAGGAAGGAAAAAGAATTAATTATTGTGTAGGATTAAACTCAGTAATTCCAAGTTTTTGGTTTATTGGGTGTCGTAGGTATGATTTTATTTTCTTCCAGGGCCTAGTATGGCACCTGTTCAAAGCAGATGCGTGATTGGCCGTGTAGGATGCCAGGGCAGATAATGAGAAATTGTTTGCAACCACTGGAAAAGGACTTTGAACCGATAATGGTCTTAATTTCTTAGGAAATTACGTGAGAGGAAGGAAAAATAATTAATTATTGTGTAGGATTAAACTCAGTAATGAAAAGTTGACAGGTATTTCATTCTTGAGCAAACATTTAAAAATGCTTTCCTAAGTGTCTTTTATAGCTATTTCTAGAGGCCCAGTGCACGGATTCGTGCACCAGTGGACTCAGTAATGAAAAGTTGACAGGTATTTCATTCTTGAGCAAACATTTAAAAATGCTTTCCTAAGTGTCTTTTATAGCTATTTCTAGAGGCCCAGTGCACGGATTCGTGCACCAGTGGACTCCCTCGGCCTGGCCTGCGCCCTCTTGCATCCGGGACCCCTTGGGAGATGTTTGACTGCCAGTTTTGGCCCCATCCCTGCAGACCAGGCTGAGGGACACACCGGTGCATGAATCCCTGCGCTGGGCTCTAGTCTGCATATAAGATCTTTGGTTAATCTCTTCCTGCCCTCCCCCCTCCCCCCTTCCCTCTGAGATTCATCAGTCTGTTCCATGTTTCCATGCCTATGTGTTGAACATCTGCCTCCTGGTGGGCAGTGGGCATCATAGCTACTGGTCAAGTGGTTGAGCGGTTGCTTAGGCTTTTATATATATAGATTATTGCAATGAAGACACTATTCGCTAGGTCTATTCCTAAGAGTGTCAAGCGCATTATCCTTCTGAATATCCACTACAGACTTTGAAGTTGATGCTGTCATTTTTTTTTTTTAAATGAGAGAACTGAGGCTTTAGGGTGTTGGAGTAGCTTTTCCAGAAGCCCCCATCCAGGCCTAGGAATCAGAATCTGCATTAAAAAAAGATCCCAGATGACCGAAGTGCCTAGTAAAGTTGGAGAAACACTGCTTTATTTTACAGAGTTCTTGTTCATGATCCCTACACAGCCCTGCCTCTCAGGGGAGTCTACGATAAACGCTTTGTTAAGAGGATTAGCTAACTCTGATGTGAATTCAGGTCATTGAAAATAGACTTTTTTCTTGGTTATATGTCCTAATTTTGTAGATTTCAAATTCGTTATTTCTGCATTTTCCGTTTTTTCAGCTGAGGGTTCTGAGATCATCTTTGGTTTTTATTTATTTATTTAATCTTTGTCGTTGAAAGTATTACATCGGTCCTCCTTTTCTCCCCTTAACCTCTTCCAGCCCACTCCTGTCTGCCCGCCCCCGCTCAGGCCCTCACCACCCCATTGTCTGTGTCCATGGGTTATGCATATATGCACACAAGTTCATTGGTTGATCTCTTCCCAGCCACCCTCCCCTGCCTTCCCTCTGAGGTTCAACAGTCTGTTCATGCTTCTATGACTCTGCGTCTCTGAAGGACCACTTTTTAAATCTCAGGCTGCAAATTATCAAATGTGAAGTTGTTATTTTACAGAGACCCAACTGATTTCCTAAACTATTACAAATCTTACTGTTGACTTACCCAGCTCTTAAGACTGGTAAAGCGCCTGCCATTGAGGGCAATGGGAACACTCGGGAAGGGGTGGTGTGTGGAAATGGTGGATTTTGAAGTTTTATAATATACAACCCCAGAGCTCTTTTCAAACCCTTCTTGAATACTTTATATAATGACTTGATTTGTTCCTTGTTTAGGATTAAACAACATGTTATTAAGCTTATCGTTGGCGTTCAAATAGACATTCCCCCTTTTCTTTCTTGAGCAGGTTGTCAAGTTATTAAGCAACAAAAGATCGCAAGCGGTTGGAATATTAATGTCTAGCCTCCACTTGGATATGAAAGACATACAACATGGTAAGTTTAAGCATAAAAATTCAGCTTTTGAATACTACTATGTGGGCTGAAGAGCATGCTGTTCGGTGGTAAAATGGTTTCAGACTTAGAGGTGCCGTGTACATTGAGGTTAGTATGTTTCCCCTAAGACTTAGGGCCTAAGTGCTCCCAAACTTCCTCTCATGCTTGTTGCTGGAACATTTACTATTCATGTGACTTTTCTGTTGTTTCTGTCTCATGATTCCCATGAGACATGTTTAGTCTGCATTAATATACATTTATTTATTTATTTTTAATATATCTTTATTGATTTCATAGAGGAAGGGAGAGAGAGAGAGAAACATTAGTGATGAGAGAGAATCATGGATCGGCTGCCTCCTGCATGCCCCCGAGTGGGGATTGAGCCTGCAACCCCGGTATGTGCCCTGACCGGGAATGGAACCTCGACCTCCTGGTTCATAGGTCAACGCTCAACCACTGAGCCATGCCGGCTGGGCAATAAATATTTAAATTTTAATTCATTAGAAGTACTAGCCTCACTGTCCTCTTTAACTAGATTATATCTGAGGTGTTGCTTCTAGATGCCATTGTCAAAGAGTGACTGATAAGCAGTGGTGAGAGGTGGGGACAGTGGGCGTGCCTCAGCCATTGAAAATACCTGGAGAAGACAGTCCACAGGGGAGAAAAATAGGTTGAGACTCGAGTCTCAGGTATTGGATGAAGTAACCTACAGAAGAGGAGGTAAACCTAGGATTTTCCGATAGATCAATTTCAACCACTGTAAGAATTACAAGGAAGCCGATATATATATATTTTATTGAATTCAGAGAGGAAGGGAGAGATGGAAACATCCACCATGAGAGAGAATCATTCATTGGCTGCCTACCAGGAAGCTGGTTTGGATTGTTGTTGTTTTAGGACTGTTCTGATGATTAGAGATGTTGCACAGAAGCCTGGATTGCCATATTAAGGGATGAAATGAAAACTCAAAACTGATCATTTATCTCCGATGTCTTAAAAACACTGGACGGGTGATGGGGCGTGTGCTTCCGGTCCTCCCGTTCTCAGACCATGAGATGCTCAAAGAATCACTGAAGCAGATTACGATGGATAACATTTTAGGATAGAGAACTGGTCTCTCTCCTTTCAGTTATGTGGGACGACGTATGGGTCCACCACTGGGCTCTTCTACGCATCGACAGATTGAATTATCTTTTCTAATAACCATCAAAGATAGTTTCAAAGGATTCTTGCCTACTTATATTATTGTTCGTGGTCAAGACACATGGAAACAGTAATATCAGGACCGCTTGTTATTTCTTTTATGTTGTTGTTTTAATTTATGTCTTTAACCAGGCTCCTACAACATTATTTACATTTGGAATCAGGGTGATTTTTAACATTTTCTAAGTGACTTTAGTGCCAATATTTTAATAATTGAATTCTACCCTCCAGCGCACAGGTATTCCTATGCCTTCTCCTCCGATCACATCGGTGCCGAGAGATATTGCCCAAAGGTGAACAGAGGAATTAAATTTATATTCAGAATGTCCCTTAAGCTGCCCAGAGCCTTAGACTAGATTTAAAGCAGATTGAATTGTTCAGTGGAATGCCAGTTTACCTATTAAAGAAATGTGGTTTCCAGTACAACACAGACCTTATAAATCATGGAAACGTCGAACCAGCTTCCTAGCCTGCCCCTCTATGAATGCGGATTGTCTTTGTTTGGCTGAAACGATTGTGTGGAATAATTCACAAATAGCCCCAGCTTGGCATGCCTCGTCAATTGATGAGTAACTCTTAATCACCATTTCAGTTTTATTAAACTGTTTTGATGGCGAGGAGACTTCCTCGAGCCGGAGCGTTGGGGGTGGTAGTCACAGAGCAGGACGCCAAGTCTGGCGCCAAGAAATACTTGGCGTTTCAAAAGCTGGCAGATGGAGCCCAGTTAAGTCATAGAAGGAAATCTGAAAATAATGACACGGCCCTTCCCTTCAGTCAAATATTCAAGCCGGGCTGAGTTAATAATGAGAACCTTATGAACAAGAGGAGCCCGCCTCCCATCTGTGTCTGTGGTAAAGCCAGCGAGAGTTCATTGAAAAATTTGCTAGCTTAACATGCAACGCTAACAATAACATAGCATGGATGTCAGTAGTTTAAAGGTCACACTGCATTATGCATAAACTTTATCCCATTAGGGGCATAAAGTGATTGCTGGAGTCACTTTGAAATCCTGCACACGGTTTTCTAAAAAAAAAAAAATTAAAAAAAAAATGGTTGCCTTAAAAGCTTGAAGAAGCAAGCAGTGTGCATTCAAGGGATACCGCCTTGTTCTGCCTCAGTGTGTTGTCTGGAACTGTGGTTGACGTGCGTGAATCACCTGTGGCCTCCAGAATAGACTAAACTTGACTTCGATCAGGATATGCGCCCGGAGAGAAGTAGCCACAGGATTTAGCCAGGCCTCCAACGTCATCTTACAGAAGAGCAAACCAAGACCTTTTTTTGGTGCTCGGGTGTCTTTGTCAAGGTCACGCAGCTCTTCAATGGAACAGACCGGATGTGCACCCGTCCCCTTAACCAACCCGTCCTGTTCTTTGCACTCAGATGAGCCACTTCTCCAAGGTTGTGCTTTTGCTACAGCATCGGTTTCTCTAAAACAAGGCAAGTGGAGTGCTGTTCAAAGGAGGTAGTTACTCTCTTTCTCTTCCTCCCTGTTAAAACTCTAGAAAAGCTTAGAGTCGAATTGACTTTATGATGCTTGTGTGTGAAAGTGCCCTGTTAGAGTCACTAGCGTGGAAGGCGTGGTTATAGGAGCAGATCTTAGAAGTTGAGCCTGGCTACATCTTGGACTACGCTTTATCCACAAGGAGAGCGATTTGTGTTGGAAACTTGCAAGGCCAAGGTCTCCCAGCCCTGTGGTCTCTTCATCACTGTCTCTGCGCGGTGGGTGTCAGCCTCATTCCACGGTCATCCCTGTTGGCTCTGAGCGGCCCGTGACGGGCGCGGTGAGGAGGAGATTGGCTTTGTTGGTGAAATGAATCCTGGGGACAGACATGAGTAGAATCTAAGTACAGACATGGACAGATGCTCGTATGTATGGCTTCGACGTTATTTTCCTGATCATGAAAACCAGTTTCTAGCTATGAGTGTAAAGTAGAAGAATACTTCTTTAAAAATTAACCTATATGCCGAAACCGGTTTGGCTCAGTGGATAGAGCGTCAACCTGTGGACTGAAAGGTCCCAGGTTCGATTCCGGTCAAGGGCATGTACCTGGGTTGCGGGCACATCCCCAGTAGGAGATGTGCAGGAGGCAGCTGATCGATGTTTCTCTCTCAT